TCCAACATTTCCAGTCATCAAGTGCCATGCTCAAGTCTTCCAAACTCAGGGCTGTAGTTTTCTTGATTGAATCAATCCACCTGTAGTATGGCATTTCTCTTTTCCTATTGCTTTTCACTTTCCCCAGGATGGCTAGTGTGAATACAAGGGGGTTGGTGACAAGGTGTCATGGTTTATAGTATTCCTCTTTTACAGCAAGCTGAAGGTGATTTCCTTTGAATTATTATGACATCATCTGAGGTGACCTATTAATGTTTCTGCAGATGTTTTGATGAAATAGTTCACTAGATAATGTGGGGGGCCCAGCCATAGCTTAATATTTGGCTCTTGCACTTTACCACAGTGTCCTTATCGCCTGGCTCCTGCACTTTTTCCATCAGCCCTGTCCTTGCAACTGTATTGCACAAGCCCCTTCTCACCCGAGTTTAGTATTTGACTACCAGGTCAGACTATTGAATGTTCGTCAATGTTTTTTATGTTGTTTTAGGATGTTGCTTTTAGAAAATTTACTGTGTTTATTTTAATATTTGTTTGACCAGGCTTGTCTCCATGTAAGCTGCCCTGGTCCCTTTGGGGAGATGGTGGCAGGAAACAAAAATAAAGTTGTTATTATTTTATTGACACAAAAACACAGTATGTCACAGCAAAGGAGATATATATGCTGGATTTTGTATCACAAAATCACAAGTCGAACACTTCCCAAGTGTATAGGACTGTGATGTATTTTCGAATGATGCGCATGCAGATCTAAGTAAGGTGGCCTTTTGCAGCTGACAGATCATGATTTTGTCAATGTTCATTGTTTCCAAATGCTGGTTGAGATCTTTTGGCATGGCATCCAGTGTGCTGATTACCACTGGGACCACCTGTACTAGTTTATGCCAGAGCCTTTGCAGTTCGATTTTGAGGCCCTGATAACAGCTGAGTTTTTCCTGTTGTTTTTCCTCAGTGCAACTGGTATGGCGACATCAATAATCCAAACTTTTTTCTTTTCTACAATCATGATGTCTGGTGTATTGTGTTCCAAAACTTTGTCAATTTGGATTCGAAAGTCCTACAGTATTTTTGCGTGTTCATTTTCCACTACCTTTGCAGGTTTATGATCCCACCAATTCTTTACTGCTGGCTTGAAAACTTGTTGTTGTTGTTGTTGTTGTTGTTATTATTAGCATTATTAGCATTTTCTCTCATTACATCTCAGAACAGTGATATGGAGGTGGCATGACTTGGTACTGTTCCGTTATCTGGGGAGACTACAAAAAGGGGCCTATACAAAGAAGGATAAACCATTTTATTGGGGGGGGGGGAGAGATGAAGGAGGAAAACAATCCCCCCCTCGTTTTTGTTATTTTTCCACTTCCCATTTGATAAACGAGAGTTCTTTCCACAACAGTGGCATAGGTGGGGTGGGGTGGGTGGTAACAGGAAAACAAGGGGAAATTATTTTACTCCTTCAACCCTCCCCTGCTAAAATGGACTATCATTGTCTGTCTAGCACCCCCTTTTGGCCTCTGCCCATGACTTAAAGACCAAGACTGGTATCAAATTGTTAATCTCAAGAAGTTTCAACTCATTGAATTGGTCAGATTTACCAATACATGTTGATTCACCAGGTTCAACTTGATGCAAAAGGGCATACTGTGCTTGGGATGAACAATTGGATTTAGGATTCAATCTGAGAGGGACCAATCCTTTCCATATCTGTTCTTGGTCCATCCTTGCTAGTTTCTTGATCTACTAGGAGATATGGTAGAGAACACAGAGTCTTGGATGATAGAGTCCAGAACCAATTATCTCCCAAATTAGCTTTTATCAAGGAAAGTTGTGTGTGTTGAGTTGATGGCTTTGTTTTGAAAAAAGGAAAATATACCGAAAGGGGAAATAGAAGGCAAGAAGAAACACAACAAGGAGAGAAAAAGTAAGAAGTAATTTGAGGAGGAGCTATTGTCAACTTTGGGTCAAGGAAAGGGATTAAAAGCAGTATTTTTTTGCATTGCACTTTCAGGCTCACTCAGAGAACAGGAAAAAGAGGAAGGTGAGGGAAAGGCTACCTACCGGCTGTTAGGAATTATGTTGAAGTCCAAAATACCTGGAGGGCCCAAGTTTGCCTATGCCTGGGCTAGACAATACTTTTTTTCCTTCTTGAATTTACAACATTTTGCCTGATGAAAGGAATCTGAATATCTTAGAAGCATGCATATGGTTTTACACCTTTTTATGGCCTAATAAAGACGTTTATACAATCTGGATCATTTCAAAATTGAGGTGTGGTGTTTAGATAGTAAGCAGTGATTTACCCAGATTCATTCTAGTGTAGGGAAGTGGTAGTACCTAACATCTTGCAAAAATAAAAGCAATCACTAACAAACATTGCAACCTCAGTATCTTATACATCTTGTAAATATTGGAGGTTATTTATAGAATTTTTTGCTGGACAATTTTCATATTATAACTCCTGAGCAGACTGGGGAGTTGAAGTAAAAATGATCAAAACGTATTGCTCCACGAAGCAGCTGAAGTTAAAGCTATGCCCTCTATATATGCTGATCAGTAACAATTGGCACCAAGTAAGAAATATTCAGACACAGAAAACTGCATCAATCAGTACTTTTCCCTCTTTTAGTTTCCATGGAAGCTTATATCTAATGAAAATCTGGAAAGTTTGGCAGCCATTACTCAACCATCTGTAAAGGATAAGGTTCTGTACATATTTGCGTCTTGTAATACTTACCAAGAGCTATTTTTTCAGAAGCAGAGCAATTGACTAATACAATAACAATTAGTTCTGAGGATATGGTAGACACAGCATTAGTTTCAGTTAGAAGTTGGAGGTACAGTGATGTTAAAAGCAATGCAGATGACTAATAAAAAGTTTTATTTTGGTAACAAGTCTAGAAAAAAGTCACATTTCAAAAGTGACTTTATGAGATAAGTGATATGACTTGGAGAAATAACTAGTAGATGTTCTGCCTCAAAAGTATTTTCAAAGGACATTTTAGAGGTATTTTTATGGAAATTTTCCATGTTTATGCCACTCTTGTCATTCCTAAACTTTTCATCCTGAAAAACAACAAAAAGTAATAAAGTACTAACACAAAAACCAATGCAACAAGCTATTTTTTTTCAGCATTGCTCCAACTAACATGTACTCCCCCCCCCCCACCACCACCACTTAAGAAATAACAAGGATAAATTAATTTTTCAAAGTAACTTTCAAAGTCCTGGCTGTAGTAAGTTCATGGATAACATAGCATTTCCCCCTGAAACTGTGTTACTTAGTTTGCATAATATTTTCGATGTCTACAGCCATCATAGGAAAGATTCCAGGCCCCATGACCTCATGCACCAAACCTTCTGAATGTATTCTTAGGGCCAGCATCAGAATATAAGAGTTATAGCTTCCACCAGTTCTCTCTTCTGAGATTCCTGATTTCACTTGCTTCCCCTGAATCTACTTACTATGGCCATTAAGCATATCCTACCCACTTAAGATATTGATTTATTAATTGTGATTTTTTTGTGAAATGTTGAAATAGTCTCTGTACTCCTGGTCCCTCAAATTGATGACCCCCGAAGAGAAGAATTTGTTCCCTACTGTGTGAATTAAAGAGCCCTATAAAGCCTGGTAGTTTTATTCTATTAGTCTTTAAGGTGTCACCGGACTCTTTGTGACTGTTGCAGCAAAATAATATGCCTACCTCTTTGGAAATTCATACTAAGAAAGTCTATTTCTGGTTTCAAGAAGTGTTTTTTAAAATGTTATTCAGTGCTCTGTATGTGTGTGTGCGCACACACCTTCAGATCATTTGTCTGTCCATGGCAGTAGTTCCCTACCATTTGTCCTCCAGATGTTTTGGACTTCAACTCCCAGAAATTCCGGCCAACCTTCCAGTTGTTAGGAATTGTGGGAGCTGAAGTCCAAAAACACCTGGAAGACCACTGGTCTATGGCAACCTCATGAATTTCATAGGGTTTTCTTTGATGAGGAATACTCAGAGATGTTTTTGCCAGTTCCTTCCTCTGAAATATAGTCTACACCAGCACTTTGTATTTCTTGGCGAACTCTCTAATTCAGTATAATTGTGTTAAAAGCTGAATTACAATTCTTGGAGACTTCTGTAATAGGCAGGTCGCCTTTGGGGGAAAATTTCAGAATAAACAAAATGGATCCCATATCTGCCTTTACAGATGCAATTTACTCATCCCTGGCCTAGCTCAGTGCTGTGATTGAGTTTGCTTGCTGTGTGTATCAGAAATGAATCTGTTGAAGCACTTCCACCATATAATGCATATGGAACCTGAGGAATGTGATTGGAAGACTGAGATGCCCAAAATAATATTAATATAATATATTAATATATGGTCATAGTGTGGGCCTGGTATCATCCTAGTAGATGTAAGAAAGCTATTTGCCTATTGGAATAGAATTCCAATAATCAAATGCTTTGATTTCATCATTCCTTACTACAATTACCAGTAGCAAAACAAATACATGCAAAATAAATCAGTATATGCAATTAATGCCAAAAAAAGAGTTTGCACAAAATCAAGGAAAAATTGGGTTGTTTGGAACCGGAATCTTAGTCAGATACGTGTATACAATTTAAAGCAAAAAGTACAAAGATCTGCATTATGAGTTGGTCATTATTCTTTTATCCATCTATTACCCATATGAATCGTGAATGTTAAGAAGGATAAGTAAGCAAGAACATCAAATACCAGCCATGAAAAACCATGTTCTGTGGTTTCTTTTGATGTGTGGGTGGATAGGTGGGGGAATCATTTGTATGATATGAAAGATGTTTAGTGTTCATGTCAGCCACTATGTTGGCTTGAATTGGAGAACATCATTACAAGAAGAAATGTGTGGCTATGGAAAGTGTGTTTTTGCCTTCCTATGTGGAGAAGGCATGGATCTTCTGGGAGCTCCTCCTTAATTTATTGAGGAGTGGGAGAGGGTAGTAAGCTAGAATACTGACTATATATCTCTTTTCTTGCAGAGAGATGGTCAATGCATGGTTTTCTGAGCGAGTTCATACCATTCCAGTGTGCAAAGAAGGGACCAAATCCAACAGTGAAACTTGTTCTTGTTCCACTCTCCAAACAACACGTGCAGAGAGCACTAATTCTACACCTCCAGCCAGGAAGATATCTGCCTCTGAATTTGACAGACCTCTTAGGCCTATTGTTGTCAAGGATTCCATTGGGACAGTGAGTTTCCTATCAGACTCTGAGAAGAAGGAGCAGATGCCTCTCCAGTCTCGGACGCTTAGGACCGATGCAGGGGACCAATGCACAAGGCTCTTAGAACTGGTGAAGGATATTTCTAGTCACTTGGACGTCACAGCCCTTTGCCACAAAATTTTCTTGCACATCCATGAACTCATAGCTGCAGATCGCTATTCCCTCTTTCTGGTTTGTGAGGATAGTTCCAATGAGAAATTTCTTGTCAGCAGGCTGTTTGATGTTGCTGAAGGTACCACTTTAGAAGAAGCTTCCAACAACTGCATCCGTTTGGAATGGAACAAAGGAATTGTAGGCCATGTTGCAGCTTTGGGCCAGCCTTTGAATATTAAGGATGCCTATGAGGTAAGCAAAGGATGCTTTCCTGTATTTGATTCATATGTATGTGCATTTTAGTAAGAGTCACAATTTTAAAATAAATCACAAGAATCCTAATAAAAATGCCCTCTCAGGATGGAAAATCACCCAGATAGTTGTGGCCCAACTATCTCTAGTTGACAATTGTGGTTCTCCAGGATATCAGATAGATAGCTATTTTTTCCAAGCAATACTAGCTAAGATTAGTAAGTTAAAAAGGTTACAGATTGAGCCCACATCCTTATATATATTGCCTCTGTCACTGAGTCGTGATCACTAGAAACTATAGTGAGACCACTAGAAATTGGAGTGTCATGCATTGCCTCAGGCAAAAAGCTGACAGGTCCTGTGTTTTGGAGCTGTCTGGAAGGGCCCTAAGAATCCCAAAGGCCCCAAACTACATTTCCCAGAATTCTGCAGGAGACAACCAGACTATAGGGAAAAGGGAGCACACACTTGATAATGCTAATGTGATTTCGTCCTTAGTACAGTAATTCTTGAACTTTCTCAGCTGTGGAGCCCTTCTTGAAACAAAGAGTTTTGTGAAACCTCAATAAATGTTTATATACGTGTGTGTGTGTGTAAGACATGGGTAAACTTTTTGACACATTATATTTTAAAATTTGACAGACAGGTTGGGCCAGTGACAGATGGATGGAGAGTGTTTGTGTGAACTAATTGAAAAAAAATGAACAAATTGTTATGCACACTGTACACATCTCTTTTGTAATGCAAAAATAATAAAAAGAATAAAACAACAGTAAGATATTTAAAATGAAGAACAATTTTAGCCAAGATAAATATAACAGTATTTCAGTGGATAACCCTAGAGACCATCCAGTCAAACCCTCCTCTGCCATGCAGGAAAAGTACAATCAAAGCACCCTTAACAGATGGTCACTTCACTTTTGTAGTAGTAATAGTAGTAGTAGTAGGAGTAGGAGTAATAATAATAATAGCCACCCTGACCCCCCCCCCCCGGGGGGTTGAGAAGGTGGGGTACAAATATCTGAAATAAATAATAATGATAATGATAATAATAGGAGCAACCCGAGGGGCCATCTGGCCAACCCCCTTCTGCCATGCAAGAAAAGCACACTTATAGTATTCCCATCAGATGGCCATCCAGCCTTTGTAATAATAACAATAGTAATAATAGGTGCAATGCCAGGGACCATCTGTTGGTGAGGAAAAAAGGGTTTTGGTTGCAAAGGAGGAGGGAAAAAAGGCTATTGGGGTGAGGGAGACAGAGAGGTGGAGGAGCAGGAAATAGGAAGGAAAGCTTGGAGGGGGAGGAGATGGGGAAAGGAGAAGGAAGGAATCATGGAGCCCCTCGGGGTGCTTTATGGAGCCCCAAGGGCTCCATGGAGTACACTTTTAAAACCACTGCATTATGACTTTTTCTAGGTTACACAGTGGGTATCCCATGCCAAACCACAGCTTGAAAAGGTTCCTTTTTTGTACTATAACTTCCAGAATAACCCTGATACTGGAGGGGATCAAGCTTTTTCCTAAACTTGTGGCATCTTGGTTTCAAACAATGGCTCTCAAGATTTTTTTAGGGACCATTTTAAGATCTTGATAGTTTCTGCAGACCACTTTATTTCTTTAATTTAAAAAGAAATAAAATATAAATAAAAGCATGTACACAGCTGTTGTTTATTTTTCTAGAAGTGATATTAATATCTTTGTAGCAGTCACTACATTTTACAAAATGAAAATGATGCCATTAACTGCTAATTTTTATGGGACGATTTAGCCTATTTGATAATCCAGTTTAATCAAAGTCTCCTCAGCATTGCCCATTTGAAAGAGACCTCTGAGGCCAAGTACAAATATTCTGGACTGTTTTGCAACTTTTCTTCTTATCACGTGGCTTATGCTCACTGGCCATTAAAAATCTGCAGACTGTAGTTTAAGAAACTTAATAAAAGTACCACCTGAAATTTGTTCTCTATTCATCAAAACAAAATTGGCAGTGATTCTTAATATCCGTTTCTACTAATGTGGAACTTACTTGTATGGGTATCTCAATGGAAAAGGCCAGCCAGTAGCAACTAACATTAAGACAATAATGTTATATATGCTAATTATTTCCTCCTTAATTATAATTCTTCATATCTATTACATTGCACACAGAAATTTAGCTTGTGGGAATACTTTTCATGTTAGTATCCCCATCAGACGTTTAGGTGAGGTGTCTAAAAGGAGGGTTTCTTTGGTGCTTTTTATTATGAGGGTTGCTTTCAATATATATGTGACATCTGAATTGAGCTTGTGTATAAGAATGAGATATTTTGACATTTTTTTTCCTGAAATGGAAGATGCTGATCTTTTTAACATGACGACTCCGTCTTTTTTGCACTTTACCCTTCTGCTCAGGGAACAGATAATCCTCTAAAAATTGTTGTACTTTGAGTAATCAGCATATTGTAATGAGTATTCATATTGGAGAATATGCAGTATATCACAGATTTGGAAAAAAAATCTAGGCTCATTGTAACATTTGGAGATCCTTATCTACATACATGTGACAGGATTTATATCATCTGGGATTTATTTCAGTTGTTACACTATAAAAATCAGAGGTCAAGAAAAGAAAGAACTGGAAAGAACTGGATTTTCTGGTGTGACACCAAACTTGGGGCATTCCTTCCTCAACTACTTTGCCAAGTCCCTTGCATTGTTGTTTTGTCAGTATCATAAAGATCTGTGTATTTAAAATGTTTGTTTTGGCTTATTTTTGCATTTTAGCTTAGTTCTTTTTGTAATGTACTGTAATTTTATTTTGTTTTTAATGAATTGTTTGATGCTTTGGGAATACTTTGTCCTAAAATGTGGTTAGAGCCTCCTTAAACATGTGTTCTCTATTGACTCATGAAGGAAATTTCATTATTAAGAGGAATGCAGTTAAATTAGTAGTTCTCAATTTTTGATCCTCAAAATGTTTGAAACTGGTCCTAGAATCCCTTACCTTTGATCATTTTCTTTGAAACTTCTGAGAACTGAAGTTCAAAACACTTAGGGCGCATCCAGACAGCACCTATAGTCCATGCCCTCCTGCGTTTTTCTCTGGGGCATCCAGACAACGCTTTAGGGAAAAACTATTGCTTTTGGCACAAAGCAGGAAAACCCTGTTTTATGCTGGGGTAATTTGTCTGCTGGAAAGACCCAGGTCTTCCAGAAGACCTGTGCTTTTCCAGGTGCAGAAACTATGTAGATGGGACCAGGGATCATGCCACATGACTTCCAGTGCCCATCTACACATCTGTCTCAGGTTTGTTGGGGTCCTGGAACCCAAGACAACCTCCACCCCCTCCCAAAAACCCCTTTTAAAGTCTTGAAAAAAAGGGAAATAACTCACCCAGCTGTTATTGCCCCTGCCCCGGAGTTCCCCTGGCTCGTACCAATGACACGCCAAGAGAAAGGTGGGAGGAGGAAAATCACTCCTGTCCCCCCTTCTCTTGGCACATCATTGGTATGAGCCAGGAGAACTCCACAGAAGGGGAAATGTCAGCTGGGTGAGTTATTTTCCTTCTTGCAAGGATTTTTTAAGGGATTTGGGGAGAGGGTGGGGATTGTCTTTGATTCCACATTTCCTATTGTGTCCTGGTGCCCTGCTGGAAAGCCCAGCAGGGCATGTGGACACCCCCCCCCAAAAAAGTATGCACTTCCTGAGAGGGGGGGTGTGTGGATTAGAACCCTGTAACAATTGCATTTTTAATATGCGATTGCTCCTGGGTTAAAGGGCTGTGTGGAATTGCCCCCAGAGAAACAAATGCTGAGAATGACCAAGAATAAAATGTTTGTTGTAACATGAAAGAACTACACACAGTTGTTGAGAAAATACATATTTATATATATTTCTGTCTTTGACAGGATCCCCGATTCAATGCAGAAGTGGACCAAATAACAGGCTATAAGACACAGAGTATTCTTTGTATGCCAATCAAGAATCACAGAGAAGAGGTAAAGTAATGGAATGCCAGTCTCTTTTTAAGCATTTCCTGCTTTGCTAATTTCCTTAAAACTGTTCTTAGCTTTCAGACTCTTTGTTTGTTCTTTCGGTCCTTTTTAAAAAAGGCTGTCTGCATATATTCCATAAAGCACTATTTTGACCTCCTCCATAAACTATGCGACATTGATATGCAGCCAAGTTTTTTGTTCTTCAGTGTTGTCATTTTCAAAATAGTGTTAACCGTTTTAGGCAGTGGAAGTGTATCTACATGTTAGGCTTTTTTCCCTCTCTCTTCATTTAAAATCCAGCTTCTATTTTGTTTCATTTGTTATTTCTTTTGAATTCAACTGGATTGTTATTATTTGGAAATTTTAGATGTGTAGAAAATGCATTCCTAAAACGACTTCAGATGAAATGAAGTCATGTAAAATTTAATTTACAGTCTAAATCAAGGCAGACTAAAAGAAAGCAGAATGAATTAGATTTTGTTTAAAACCCAGTATAACATAAAAGCCAGAGATATAAAAATTATGACTAGATTACAAATGCAATTTGCATGATTGCATTAGGTTGTGCTTTCAAATGTTATGATTTCTAATCTTCATATAAGAAATGCATATTGAAAGCCATCTATAAATTGTATGTATTTTCAGTATATATATTTTAAACAGAAGATGGCAGAATGGAATTGCCCAAGGTATATATTCCTTCATGACAGGAAATTGGATTAATTGTCTCTTGGGACCCTTCAAATTCTATGATTTTGTGGAAGAAATGGCCCAGGATTTGGTGGCATCAATGCCAGCAGCTATTTTGACTAGGAGATTCTGGGACTTGTAGTCTGAAAAAGTAATTTTTCTTAAGACAGTGGTTCCCAGTCTTTTTTTGACTAGGGACCACTCTCCAACATTAGCACCAAAAGGGCTATGAATCAGTTTTTGGTCAACTTTAGATTTGATTTGGTTATTTGGGGTGCTGATTCAGAAAATTGCATTGGATAGACCTCATCAGCTCTAGTTTTTGATACAGAACATATGCTATCCAGCCATCTGCTTGCCCACAGAAAACAATATTTAATAATCCTCAGCACTATAAGAGAGCTTTGCGAGACCAGTCGCTCTTGTTGCAACGGTGTAGTAATGGTGAGGCCGCAGACCATATTTTTGTTCTTGCGGACCACTGGTGGTCCATGGACCACAGGTTGAGAACCACTGCTCTAAGGTCTGGGAATATATTACCTAAAGATATTAACCTACTAAGAGCTGATTGGAATTAGTTACCTGAAGATATTAACCTAAATGTTCAAGACTTTATAATAACTGTGCTGTGCCCTGACCTGAACCATTAGGAGAGGTGGAAAATAAATTAAAATTATTTCTCATCTTCTCCTTCTCCTTCTTTTTCTCCTAGTTCTGAAATGTCTGTATATTACACTCCCTGGAAATACAGAAGCTAAAATTCCTTCTTATTTTTCCTCTAAATATGTCCTTTTCATTGCCATCATAAGTGCCCTCCTCCCACCTTTGTCTGTGCTTGGCAAGCACTAAAGCTGGCCCCTTGTCAGTGGAGCAGACCATTGCGAGTGATGATGCCTGGCGTCGGAAGTCTGGTGCATGAGGCCCATGTTTTACTGAGGACATGCTTTCTTTAGACAAGCAGGCTGAATGGAAACAAGAATGTGTCAGGCTTTTGACTTACAAATCTACATTTGCCATAAAGATCAAAGGGGCTTGGCTGTTAACTATCAACTAGTCAGCCATCTTTGATAGAAATAGAAATAAAATGCCACAGCTCTCAGATCAAAATATTCCAAAACAATTCGTGTTGCTTAGATAATTATTTGCAATTTCTGAAAAAAAATGTGATGAGCTAGATAGCTTTACTTTGTAACCACAAAGAGAGCCTTGGCTGAAGCAAACGGTGTTCTTTTTCTGTCTGAAAATGTAAAATAAACGGATAGATGAATAAACTGTCAAATGTTAGGAAAAATTGAGAGGGAAGGGAGTCGTGTGTTATATTCATTTCTCTGCATTTTAAATGGGAAGAACTGAGGTTTGGAATGTGTCTGAGGGAAAGCTGGGTATTTTTCCCCCTCTTTGACTCTCTTACCAGAAGTTTTTCTTCACTCTCACCATAATGCCTAACTGACACATTTCTGGAAGAGGTCTGAATCAGCCCTTAAATCACCATCTGTTTTTAGCTGTTTTTCCTATTTATTTTTTAAAGCCATTACGAACATTAAAAGCACTCTGGTCTGAACATGAGCAATGCTTAGGAAACACATGATCCTGAAGATCTATGTAGTACAGTGGTTCCCAACCTTTTTTTGACCAGGGGCCACTTGACCATGGACCACTCCAACATCAGTACCAAAAGGATTACGAATCAATTTTTGGTCAACTTTAAATTTGGTTTGGTTATTTGGGGTGCTGATTCAAAAAATTGCATTGGGTAGACCACATCAGCTCTAGTTTTTGATACAGAACATATGCCATCCAGTAGTCGCCATCTGCTCACCCACAGAAATCCATATTTAATAAGCCTCGTCATAATAGGGTTTTGCAAGACCAGTTGCTCTTGTTGCAACAGTGTAGTAATGGTGAGGCCGCACACCATTTTTTAGTTCTTGCAGACCACTGGTGGTCCATGGACTACAGGTTGGGAATGACTGATGTCATGATACACTTCTCAATGACAATCAGTAGCAATCCAGAAATTGAAAGGCTTTCTTCATGACTGATGAAATCATGTTGCAAACACATTTTAGCTGTCATTCATTATTTCTACAAGCAATTCTTCAGTTGCTCAGCCATCTGTGAACATTTTGGGTAGGATGCACTCCATGCCCTTGTGAGGATGTCTGTGAACAATTGGACAGTATAAGTGGTAGAAGCCATAACCTTGTTATGTGAAGGGAACTCTGCTGTTCTTTATTCCTTTCTGGAAGAAGAATCTGCTTACATTGCCTTTCAGCCACAATGACAGGAACAGAACACAACTGTCGCATTTAAAAAGAAAAACCTGGAAAAGAAAAGAACAAGTCCAGTTCTTATAGCACCTTTCCCTTCCAATCCTAAAGATTATCCAAATGTTTGATTTTCATGTCTCAAAACCTGCTTGGTCCTTCCATTTGCAGAGGGTGGTGCAAGCATATTGCCATGAGTGGGTCGTGGAGTGACTTATGTCCATAATATAAGGATGGAAGGAATATTAGAAAATATTCAGAAGATGTTGAAATTATGTATTTGTGAGTGCTGAAAACTATTCACAAGAGGAATCCTGGACTAATGAGATTTTTTTTCAATTTGGGACTTATTCTGCACAAAATTCACACATGGTTGTTTTGCACAGAAAAAAGCATTTTTTGTACATGAAATAACATTCTCTACATGGAAAATAATATTTTAATATAAGAAACATGATTTTCTGCACAGAAAATCCTGTTTTCTGTGCAGAAAATGCTGTATTTGGGGATATATTCTGGGTAAAATTTCCACACAGTTGATTTGCATAGAAAACAGCATTGTCTGTGCAAAAAACAACATTTTTTGCAGGAATTTTGGAATAAAATGCAAAAATAACCACTTGTGAATTTTGCACAGATGATGATGATGTTTTTCTCTCTTAAAAATATTAAGTCCTGAGTTGCAAATAGCTTTTGAAAACTTGTTGCTCTTAAAGAATTTTTCACAATTGGAATAAAATTGTTGAAATTATTTGTCACTACCTTCAAGGGAAAAAAACTTAATGAAGAATTGCATCCCTACCAAAAGTCCCTACCAAAATTGCATCCCTACCAAAGTACACAGTGAAAGAAATGGCATAGGGGTTTTCTGGTATTTCTTTCAAAGTATTAAGTTGCAGTAACATGAGAAGTTACAATCATGCAAGAATGTTTTTGATGTAATAACTATTATAATGAAAGGTTTCATTTTGTTAGAAGATATGCTAGTAGTTTTAATGGTCAAAATTGGGGAATATGCCAAGGGCAACCACAGAATGTACACAAAATGACTGGTATAGGCGAACAGGATGATCCCACAGATATCTGGTTTCCAAGTGTAGTACATTTTTAAAAAGCGAGCACCAACAGTTTTGAACTGGAGAGTACAGTGAAGTTGTTTCAGAAAGGTGTGATGTCAACCTGCTCTCTGGAGCTAAATTCAAGGCCAGTCCCAGTTGGGTAGATACATTTCACTAGGTATACTTAAGTCGAAATTAATACTGGAATTATCCCATTGTTAGCAGCTAGTTGGAGTTTTGAGCTTCCTTCTTTTCAGTAGTGAGAAAATTTAAAACATTGCTTTGAAGGAAAGCAGCACTCTATAGACAACAATACTGTATATTATGAAAAATGTGAGGATATGAAAAGGCTGCCTGTGCAATTTCTGTTTGTTTTGCTTGAGAAACTGCAGAAACTTACTTCGAAATCTAATCACATCTATTCTGCACCAAAAGGGAAAGGCACATAACATCCTTTTGTTTTTTAAGATAATATGTTTGTTCTTGAAAGTCACAGGAAAAGAGCTTCAGAAAACTCAACAGAGGTCCATTAAATATCTGACCTCGTGAGGTTGGAAATTTGACTTTTAAGCTAAACACATGTTTTGGGAAATATATCTTCAAGACTTGAAATGGAACAAATATGGGAAGGGAGAGCTTGAAACATGACTCGAACCAAGGAAGTGGGCTGAGTTTATTTTAAACCATAAAAGGGGGAAAGTAGAGTGAGTATTAAAGGAAGCAATTAAGATAGAATTGCTGTTCAAACATCACCAAAGAGTTGTAATTAAGTGAGAAAGACCAGGGGTGCATCCAGACAGCACCATGCCCTCTTGAGTTTTCCCCAGGGGTGTCCAGACTACATCTCAGGGGAAAACGAATGGTTTCAGCACAAAGCAGAAAAACTTAGTGCCAAGGTAATTTGATAGTGGGTTAAATCCGTACCTTCTTGAAAGGTGCGGGTCGAACTCACTATGGCCACAGTCTGGACTGCTCCCTTAGAAGTCCT